GATAGTGAAATTGGTTATACTGAAGATAATCCTGTTAAATAAAAGGAGTGAGATGATAGTGACCTGTAAACACAGGAAGAAATGCATAATAAAAAATATATATCTGGGGTAGTTGTGCATAAAATTTTCATGGACAGGTTGTAAAAATGGAACTGTCTGTATGGTCCCCAGTAATGTCCACCTGATAATTACTAGCCATATAAAACTCAGTTGCATAACTGCTACAAAGAAATACTAGAAATTATTTTCTTGTCGGTGTATATATATATATATATATATATATATATATATAGCGAGAGAGAGAGAGAAAGAAAGAAATGATGAAACAAAATGGAAGAGCGTTTAAACAAAATATTCCACTAAGGTGAGCTGTGTTGGGTTCAGTTTCTTCAGATCAGAATAAAAGACAAAACTGTGTGTAATAAAATACATTGGGATTTTTTAGTATAAGACAGGCAATAAATTAAATTGCCTTATGAAATGCAGTGACTAGTGTTTCATATATATATATATATATATATAAGAGACATTCATGCTTGGATTTTAAATCAGTTCATTCAAACTCAATCTCTATTTCTCTATTAGCTTGTATACCACATTGTGCTAGTATTGCTTTTGTGATGATTAGTAATATTATGTAAGGTCCTGGTCTTAGGTTTATTGTCAAGAATTGTGAGATTAGTGCACTCTCTATGCATTTTCTTCTTAGTAAATCCTTTTCACTCCTGACATTTTTTAAGTTGAAAATGTCATCAGGTATATTGTGGTGAACTACCAATGTATTTAAAATGTTGTCATGCAGTATATCGCTGCAATGCATATATAGTAATTTTTAAGGTTTCTGGATGTTTCATTGGAATGTCAAATGTTCCTCCTTTCTTGAGCCACACATCTTCATTGTCAAACAATAGTGATTTTCTGCAGAACTTGCTGATTTTTTATTCAATTTTATTTGCTTCTGACCCAAGGAGATGGCTTTACCAAACATGGCTTTGGTTAGTGAAGGGTAGAAATCTTTTATATCTAATCATATAAATTCACAGGTATGTTTGTTTTTAGGTTACAGAACAAGTCTCTGGTTGTTTTTGTGTTTTTCCACTGGAAATATATATAATTTTATAAAATATTTCAAGGAACATATTCTGTTTTACTTCAACAAATCCATGTCAGCCTTAGGAAAAAGTACTGCCTGAAAGATGTTTCAGATTTTCAATGTCAAATGCTAAAAAACGATGTTATATCACAATGAAAATTTGGAAAGTGTACCTTGTAAAGATGGTAAAAACAATGAAAAGAATGTATCCTTTTACCAAATATCTGATTTCTAGTTGACAACAAATGGTTATTCAAAATATTCTTTTTGCCTAAATCTAAGACAACAAAGAAAATAAAGAATTATATTTTCTGAAGTTAAGAGATTGTGTAACAGATTCAGCAAATAAAATTCAAATTCCAACCGTGCCTATATTCAGTTTGCAATAATGCCATAAAAAAAAAAACATGAATATATCTCTCCCTAAGTTCTATCCAATCAAATGATTTGTTGAAAAAAATCTTGCAAATGACATACAATAGTTGTTGAAGAAAATCAAATCAAGAATTTTCCCTAGTTTTGGTTGTGGATTGAATGTTAGTGTATACCAAATTTATTCTTAACTGCCATTTATGATTAGTATTTAGGATGATACATTTGTAATTACAAATCTTTCCCAAAATCAGAAATTACTTCTGACTCAAGCTAATATATACATACATACATTCTATCATTGTTTTGTCATTATGTAAAATAGAGATTGAACAAGATAAAACTGCTCAAAATACATTAAAGATAATCTTTTCTTTGATTACTATGGTTATTTACTCAGCTAAGTTTTGGTTGAAACAGTTACATTAACAGATTGCGCCTAAGGATTGAATTCTTTGCTTTACTAAATGGTCTTAAGATAAAGCTTGTTAATCATCAAACTCTAGTAGGCACCTTGAGTCATTTAGTAACCTTCAGTTTAACAAGCTATCAAGGAAAAAATTGAATTCACTGCACTTGGAGATTAGTCAGGAAAGTGAACTTGCTGACCATTACATTATAATAGGATGCTAAATTTATTTACTAGTACATTATTATAATTGATTTAGTGTGAATTCATTACTGACCACTGTCCTGAAGTGGAACAACTACATTGAATCTATAGCTTAATCTGCCGCAAGGAAAGTTGGTTTTCTGTATCGTGCCAGAAGGTTCTTCTCACCGGAGTCCATCCTTCAAATGTACAAATCAACCATTTGTCCTTGCATAAATACTGCTGCCATATATGGTCTGTTTATCTTGAGGTCCTAGACAAAATCCAGAGAGGGATATGCAATGTGGTTGGTCCTGATCTGGCATCCCATCTGCAATCACTATCTCATAGATGTGCTGTGGCCTCCCTCTGTCTTTTCTACAAGTACTTTCATGGCAACTGCTCTGACAAGCTACTTTCACTGGTTTCCAAATTGCATGAATTTAGGCGTGCTACTAGGCTGGCATCTCGGTCCCACCCTTTCACTGTTGAAATGACAAAATGTAGCCATCTCTTCTACTCCAACAAGTTCTTATCTCACACCTCCCATCAATGAAACTCCCTTCCTTTTCACTTGCTTTCCTGATAATCTTCAAATATTCAAATGTAATGTCAATCAACATCTTCTGATGTCTTGATGTTGATCCCTTGTCCTTCTCTTTATCTTTTTCCCAAACATTTCTCTTTACTCTTATTCTTACTCTCTGTAACTCCTTGTGTACTAGTGGCACTCCTGCCTTGTTTGGGTTGATTTGCTTAAAAATGAAAATACTAACATGAAACATCTCACCAAGTAAAACCATGAAAATTAAAGGGAAGGTATTCATCTCTTTCTCTCTCTCTCTCTCTCTCTATATATATATATATAGAAACAATTTGTACAAAGAATTAAATAGCAATGTTAACAAGACTTAATGAGACATTAACTTACTATCAATTCCTTGAATAATAAGATCCTTATATTCAAGTTGTTGTCAGATGGAAGACACTTGCCAAGTACTTTCAACAATTTCAAACTGTCATCTGCAGGGTGCAATTTTTTCCCATACATAAGCAAACCCTAAAATGAAATATGTGGAGACCAAAAAATGTTTTTTTAAATTATGCTATTTATTGACAGTTGAATACATGTTTTGGAGGGTGCGATGATGTGATTCTAGAGTTCTTATTCAACTCGATCAAGTGAGAATTTTGTTTGAATTTTAAAAAGATATAAATCCAGAAAATTTTCGTGCTATATGTATTTATCTGTTAAAGTGATATGGACTTAAGTATAATCCAATTAATAGAGTAAAAATATCTTAGTAGTTTTCCACGGAATTTAAGATTCTAATTATTACTGTAAATATATTAGTGTGTAGCTTATATTTTATATCTGCATGTGCAGTCCATTGTTGCTACTGTAAGTTTTCAAATGATGTGGTTTTTGTTAATTGCTAAAGTTCTGTAGCACCAGTCTATATTTTCTGATAAAGGATTATCTTCTTAAAGACCTTGTCTCACTAGTAAGTCTGATTGATTTGATGTGGTCAGATTAGTAGCTGATGTCAAAAATTACCTACAATGTGCTGTTAACTGGAGCAAGAAATTTTAATGTTGATTTTAATGACTCCAAAATGAAACTGCTGTCTGTTAATCATCTGAAAGAACCCTTTCTGACTTCCATCAGTATGGCTGATGCTAACCTCCACGAGAGTGACGCGTTGTGCCTTCTCAGGATAACATTTTCCACTGACATCAAGTGGAAAGATTATATTGAATTAGTTGCTTCAATGTGTCATGCTAGACAATTTTTCTTTCTAGAATCTATTTTATATCTTTATAAGTCTACCATTCATTCATGCTTTGGATATTGCTGCCACATATAGTCTGGTGCTTCAGCTATATATTTAGAGATTCTTGATAAAATCCAAAGAAGTTTCTGCAAAGTTATTGGTCCTGACCAGGCATCTCGACTTCAGTCACTTTCCCACTGCTGTAATATAGCTTACCTGCCTGTGCCTTTGCTGTAAATACTTTCAAGGTAATTATTCTGATGAACTTTTCTCTGTGGTACCTAGACTTTATGAATTTAAGTGCAGTACTAGATTGGTAATAAGGTCTCATGAATTTACAGTTGAATTGGCTAGATGCAACTGTAAGTTCTATGCTAATGTTTCTTCTTTCGCACTTCTTAATTGTGGAACTCTCTTCCAGCTTCTTAGATAACTTTTCTTTTCAAAAATTTAAATTCAATGTAAATCCTTATCTTCTGTCTTCTTAATTCTTGTTCTTTTATTTTCTCTCTTCCAGCTTCTTAGATAACTTTTCTTTTCAAAAATTTAAATTCAATGTAAATCCTTATCTTCTGTCTTCTTAATTCTTGTTCTTTTATTTTCTCTCTCCTTAATAATGTTTCTCTTTTTCTTTCACACTCAGTAACCCTTGTGTTTAAGTGACTTTATTGCCTTGCTTGGAATGAATTGATTAAAAAAATAGATAAAATATTATTTGCATTGTGTTTGCTCCTTATTTTCATATACCAAATACCACTTATTATAATACATTGTATAATAGCTGAAACCATATATGAGCATGAATTTTGGTGTAAAATCTGCTTATGTGGTCATAGAAAATTGTCTGCAAGTCAAAATTTATGGTCAGAAATCTTCCAGCCAAATAAACAAAGGTAAAGATAGAAATCCTACAATCCCTCCACTCATTGTCTCACATTTACAATTTCTTATATTTGGGAGATATCTCTCAGCCAAACTTCAAACTGTATTTCATCTGACGTAAATCTTTTCTTCTCTTGGCTCTGGTAAATTCAAGAAAAGGTGAACTGAACTCAGAATATTGTCAGTTATTTGATGAAGCTCTTCTTGTTGGGAATGATCTCTTCAACCTGGTCAGTTTGAATAAAAACAAAATGCTCTTCAAAGTGATCTCCACTTCTTGGAATCTATGTTATTTGCACTTTTTTTTCTTTTTTTAACTTCTCTTTCTTCTTTTCTTACATTTTTTTTTACCTCTTTGTCTTTTCTTTGCTTTCCTTTTTATTTTCTACTTTTCCCTTTTACTCTTTTTCTTGCTTCTCTTTTCTACAGATGTTTTGAAGTCTTCCCTTTTTTTCTCTTTCCATTTTTGTTTGACTTTTTCTTTTCCAGTTTTTCTTCTCTTTCTTCTACTTTTCCTTTTCTTCTTTGTTTTTTTTTTTATTTCTTACTTGCTCCAATAATTTTATTTCTGATTTGTTTTTTTTCCTCTTTCTTCCATTTCTCTTCTCTCTTTTTTTTCTTTTGATTCTATGTTTTTATTTTGATCTTCACTTCTTTCTTCATCTTCTCCCAACTGTAGTTACCTCATTTTTCTTTAATTTTGCTTTTCACTTCCTTTATTTTCATCTCCCATACATTTTCTTTTTTCTACAGTTTGTTTTTTCATCATTCTCTCTTTTAAACTTTCTTTCATTTTTCATCTCTTTTCATCATTCAGTTTCTCTTTATTGTTTTCTTCTTCTCCTTTTACTTCATATCTTTTATTTTTCCTCTTCCTTAATAACATTAATATAATAAAAAGCTTATTATATTAATGTTCTTCTTTTCCTTTCTCAACTTCACTATCTTCTTCCTTTGTTCATTCTTACCTTTTCGCTTTTTTCTTATAGTTTTCTTCTTCCTTTCTTTTCCTTCTCTCTCTCTTTCTTTCTTTCTTTCTTCCCGTTTAACCTTTTATCTCATCTCTGTTTTCTTTTCCCTCTTTTCTTTTTTTCTTTCTTCCTTTTTATCTATTGTCATATTCTTCTTTACCTGAAATCATTTTCACCTCTCACTTTCTTCTTCTTTCTTTACCTTCCTTGATAAAATCCTGTTGCAAAAACATTGTCCTTAAATGTTCTCTTCCCACTGGCTGACTTTCAGAATTGGCACATCATAAAAGCCACTTGTAAAGCATTTGATCTTTGAAAAAATAGGGATTCCTTTTTTTTACTGCCAAAATCAATGAATGTGAAAAAGCTATAAGCATTTAGTCATCAATTTTATGACTCTTTCAGCTTTAGGTAACAATATATTGAGGAGATAAAAGAATCTGACCAAATATATTCTTTTATTTGCAATATAAAGACTGTGGTTTAAGATTGACCAATTTTAAGTGAAGTTTAGGTTTTAATATAAAAACAGTTAATAAAGGTGAATTTAAAAGAATTTGATCCAAAGCTAAAACTATGGAGAATAAGGTTCAGTAAATCATTTAATTCAAGTTAGAGAAACAATGAAGATTTTAATCTCGTTTTATGTTTGTAAATTCAAAAAAATGAAAATAAAAACAGCTACATCCACTTGGTCTAATATCTTCTTCTATATGTTGTGTTTCTTCAGACTACAATTTCCTGTTCTTTGTAGATCTTAATAAATTTCATCTTTTTGTTATCTATCCTAAACCTAGTTCCATTATCTTTTTACTCAACCTTGCAAGGTAGGTTATGCATTGTTTTCATCTGGCCCTCTTGCTGTCAATATGTCCTGTGACTATTATATTTGCCAAACTTTCTTTCCACATTATGTGCCCTAGATATTTTAACTGTCTCTTTCTGATATTAAGTATAAGTGTCTTTTTTGTTTCCATTTTCTCTAAAACTTCATCATTTTTCACATGTTTGGCCCATGGTAATTTTAGCATTCTTCTGTAGAACCACATTTCTGTTGCTTCAAGTCTTCTGTAGTTTATCCATCTGTCCATCCAGTTGCTTGACATGTGATCAAGCCTCCTCCCCATCAGATTTCTCATTGACTAATATAGCCACTTTTCTACCAACAATTCTCTGATTTTTGACCATCCATCATAATTATGGGTAAGGCAGGTAGCATCCATTACAACACAATACTTTTACATCTTCATCTGCAAGATTGTTCAATTATATATTTTTTAAAAAATCTTTTAATTATGAATTTCCATTGTTATGTTATTTCAAGCATGTGTTTGTAATCCTGGAGTTCCAATTTTTCACATCAGCTCTACTGACACAGCATCATTATCTTATTTAAGATATATGTTTTTTAACTATTGACAATAATTTAACAAAAGAGTGACTTGCCAAGCTAATACTGAACATTGCTATAGTCAACTTAATGGGTTTTACTTTGGGAGAAAAATATGCACGTGTTATAGATGGGTATTGTAAGAAAGAGTGAAATATTCTGCATGATTTATATTATTTATTTACTTTTTTTATATCATTATCTCATCTTTTAGAATTCATATAGTGTGATAAATACATACAGCAATATGTTGTAATCCTCCAAGTGAAGGTGGTTTCCTATTTTTGGGGGTGGTGAAGGGGCGGAATTTACTGACATAAAATAAAAGTGTTTAAATATATTTTAATATTACCTGCAATTTCAAATAGTATCAAGCTATTCATTAATCTACATATTACTAAAAAAAAAAGATATAGAAACAGATATATCTTTTCACAGTAAGCAGTTTTATAATGTGAAATATTCTTAGAAATATCTGACAGAGAGAAATGTTGTACATTTTAGCAGATATCATTATTCACAATTTACAAGAGAAAAGTGTTTTACTTTGCTTCACATTAGATCTGTCTTCTTTCTTTTATGTGCCATGTCCTTTCAGGATGTAGGCAATCATGGCCTTCCATATCTTCCTGTCCATTGTAATTCTTAATAAGTTTTCTCTTTTTGTTATTACTCCCAAACCCTATTCTATTATCCCTTTACTCAAGCCCATTAAGTATGTTAAACACTGCTTTCCTCTATCCCTCAATCTACCATCTGAGTATCAGATTTTCCAAACCCTCCTTCCTCATTACATGCACCAGAAATTTCAACTGCCTCTTTTTGATGGTAAGTATAAGTTTCCTTTTTGTTTTCATTTTCTCTAAAACCTCATTGTTGCTTACATATTCAGTCCATGGTATCCTCAGTATCTTTTTGTAGAATTACATTTCTGTTGCTTCAAGTCTCTTCTTCATCTATGAGGAGACTGTCTAGCATTCACTGCCATACAATAGGTCAGATATCACATAACAGTTCAATTCTCTTTTCTTGATCTCTTCCTGATTCACTCTTCATCAAAAGTTGTCGGCCTGATGTCAATGCAAAGAAATCAAAACTAAAAATAAAAAGTTACCCTCTGCATACTTTCTATTTTCATCAGATTCTTTTACTAAACACCCTCATATTTTTTCTGTTTACAACAGAGTTTTGACAAGGGAGATAGAAAGTCTTTCCAAACAAACATGATGATTTAAAAAATACTTTATTGACAGAAACATTGCTCATATATGGCAATTTTAAAAATTTGAATTAAAAGTAAATTACATAGATGAAATATTTATTAAAATATACTTCTAAAAATTGTTATGCAAATTAAATGTTACTGATTATGTTTAAACACAATTTAATATATATATATATATATATATATATTATATATATATATATAGAGAGAGAGAGAGGCATGGTGGAGTAGTGGATAGTGGCTTGGATTGAGGAATCGAAGAACCGAGTTTGAATTCATTACATTCACTTATGTGCTAATACCCTTGGGAAAAGTATTAATCCTCTTCTTCTCCCTTCAGCTATGGGTAAATGGTAGGACAGACTGGGTTCTATAGCCTTGGATAGAAACTGGCCTAGGAGAAGGACAACTCTGAATTCCAAATCTGCAGAGGATCGTTTGGGGAGCTTGTGGCACATAGTACACCAGGTTTCTATATTCAGCCCTTCAAAAAGTGTGGTTGGGTCTGCACAAAGCCTTCACCCCTATAATAACATCATATGTGCTGGTGTCTTGGGCTATCAGTTCCTAGGAACTGAGCAGCTTGACCTTCATACATTGAATATGACAAGAGAGCCCACATATATATATATATATATATATATATATATATATATATATATATATAAAAGGCTGATAGAAAACTCATTATGGGCTGTTTTGTTTATTGATGTAAGGTTGGGACACAGAGATAAAATTTATTCTTATATGAATTTATGAAAGAAAAACCCCAACACATTTGTTACAACATTAAGATGTATATTTCACATCAAATCAAAAAGAAACATATGAAGACATTCCAAGAATTGTGGGAACTACTTGTTACCATATTTTGGTTGGTTTATTCTATTGTCTTTTTCAGGTGTAAAAAAAAAACAAATAGCAGTATCTAACAATACATTAAAACAGAAAATAATTATGGTAAAATATATTTAGAAAAGTTATTGCAATTTATTTATTCAAGTTATTATACTATGTAAGATTTTATTATGCAAATCAATGTTTTCACAATGAAATTAGTATCAATTAAATGATGCTGGCAAAATTTTCTTGTGTTATTTTCAGCCTTTAATATCTATCTAAAAAGAAATATTTATAATAATGTGTTTTGAAGATGTAAGAGTTTATTATGCAAAGTGCAACATGAAATATTATAAAAATAAATCCAAAAACTATAGGTCATAAAAACATATATTTGATGAACACAATATCTCATATATATGAATAAGATATTTTATATTTTAATACAAGTTTTTTGATATTTAATAACCTTCCTCAGTCTTTCACTCATTGTCAACTTTAAGATTATTTACAGCTGTAGTTTTTATTGGTTCCCCTGAGATTTCCTTTGATTGAATATTGTTTTATATTCTTATGTACAACTAATTTAATGATGGAACACAAGATTTCTATTGGATTAATATTTAGAGAGGAGATGAGCCATTCCATTAATTTGGTATCTTTGAAATATTTTTTGGCAATGCTTGAATATATTTTTTAACTTAAATTTTCTTGGTATCACTCAAAAAGCATAACTTTGAAGGGGTCTGTAATTTTACTTTACTAGACCAAAACACCACTACACTGTTGTCTTCATTTTGGTTGTCTGATTTTATGAAGGACCCAACCTCAGTTGTCAGCTCCTTCCAGTGTAGCTCTTCATTAATCAGTAAAAATTACTGTTGAAAAGTCAGTTTTCATAAACTTCATTCCACTTATATGTTTTTGTGATATTTACTTTTTGTCACTTTTGTTGCTTTCATGATTTTTAGCTCATGTTCTTAATATTCTTCATCTTTTCTTTCTGTTAACATTAGCAACATCAACTACAATTATTTTCTGGGTGGTCAATCCACTTTACTTATTTTCATTTTCATTTCTGCATATCTTTTTTTGTCACATTCTTGAGGGCAGCTTTTTTTCTTATTCATATTTTTCTGCTGAAAATTAAACTTCCTTTTGATTCACTCCACAACAAAATCTGTCATCCAGATGTGAATGCTACAAAAGCAAAATATAAAATAAAATCTAAATGTCAGAGCTAATCATAGACATTGCCACTAAAGCAAAAGCATGACAAAAAATGCTAATTCATGTATCCATCCTGACAGCTTAAAAGGAGCCACCCAGCAATACTCAAGGCAGGCAGTCACAAAGTTTGTCAGTGGCCTCCTGGTTAACTGACCTGACTCAAAATTCAGTGTCAGGCCTGTACACCACCAAAAGAGATATTCTGCCTTAATCCATTATACTGGCAATACAGATAATTTTATTTGAACATGTCTTTTATTTCCATCTAACTGATAGTTATATTTTTTGTTTGATATTCCTGAAACTATATGCACTATATAGTCAATATTTTCAATTTTGTTTTTATTGATTTATGACCTCCATTTAATTTTCTCACTGTTTCTAATATTATCTCCCCACCATTCAATAATTTAAAAATATCTTGTTCCTGTTTTCAGGTAATATTTTAATTACAATGAAAATCTTTCTATATCTGAAATTAAAAAATAAATATCAACAACTATACTATTATATATGTATATATATT